GTCATTTTTTCTGTCCTCTGAACCTTCACCTTCAGAGCTTTGATTGTCCCTTCCCGAGTAAGAACACTTTTTACTCGTTGTTGCCACAGAGTAAAATCACCACGTCCATCGAAAGGTTCGACGGAAACATTCGAACTTTTCACCGATGCCATTTTTCAAGTTCTTCGACTTTCTTCTCTTACCGCTTAGAAATCCCTCCGCCCCAAATGTAACTTGGCTCCGATACCAATTGTTGTGATTTTAAGCGCGTAAGACTATTAAAATATCAAGAACGTGAAAAATAAATAACACACTACACAAGAAGAAAATATGAGAGAAAAATTATATCTTCACTATTTCAGAACGATACACAAAAAACTCTCCCTGTTTACAAGTGCTAAATACCAGACACTTATAAACAGACTTTTCACACCCTACACCCGGAGGTATTTTTTCGAGTAACTAAAACCAGTTACTCCCTACGCTCACTCACACAATGTTGGTGATATCTTGTGTAGACCTCTCTCTTAACCTTCCTCTTTTTTCCTTCCCCTCCCTACGGTATTGTTGCATGGCTTTTAAATAGCCAAATACACAATAGTGGGGAATAATCTAGCTCACACCTCCAAGAGAAAGAAAACAAAACTCCTAAAGGCTCTCCTGCCACTTCTTGGTTGTTTCCACCAAGTTACATCCTTTTTTTCTTTTTTTTTGTTTCAATTATTTAATCAAAATACCTCTACACCTTCATTGTATTGCATCAATCTATTCATTGGGAGTTCATAGTTTGTTGTCCTTTGTTTTCTTTCCTTGTGAAAGAGTGTTATATGTTGGGGTTGAGACTTCACCAAGTGGTTTGGGTAGAAATCTTAATTATTTGTGAAATACAATGTTTGGTGTATGAAATCTCATGACTTGTGAAATCAAGTCATTGGTAGAAAGATAAGAGGCTTATGAAATCAAGTTCAATTCTCGAGTTGTAAGGTTTGCTAAATACTATTAAGTTTGGTGGGATGGTTAATGAAGGGTCAATCAAATATATGAAATAGTTCTCAAATATAGAATAACACTTAGAAAATAATTTCAAATAGAGGACTATGTTAAAAACTCTTGAGTTATGAAAGACCGTTCGTGAGTGCATTGCCAGTGAAAACAAAGTTGTGTATGGCACAAAGGGAGTATTTGTTACGGTGCGTGTAGACTATTCACAAAGAAAAAGAGAGTCTCGAGGCAAGTAACGGAAGTGAGAGAAAAGGTGAGATGTGAGAGACATATAATTGGGTAAAATACTGAATTGTCTATTTAGCTAGTATTAATAGGAGCCCACGTCATCATGCATGCTTTACAAGTATGAAATAACAATACAAAATACAGGAAATTTGTAAAGCAGATAGTCCCACATCATTCCGTACCCCTTAGCCACAACTCTGTCCTCAAAGCTTGAACTCAAAACTATAGGACGGTACTTTTGTCAGTTGGCCTTTCTTTTAAAGTTTTTTTTTTTTTGCAAGAATAGCTTCTGGATGAGGATGGTTATTGGGGTCAATGTCTTGAAACCAGTTGGAATGTATAATGCTGCAAGTAGATCTCCTCTAGAAATTCTTAATCTTACATGAGACATTTGGTGAACCTAAGCTTGAAGAGGAAGCTTGAGCTTATAGGCCTTGAATTGTGAGGCAGGAAACACTAGAGACATCTTGACCTGAGTGAAAGGATGAAGTTTACATGCAACTTTAACCACCTTGGACTTTACTTGAAAAGTGCTAGCATATTTGGGTCCCAATATCCCAGTTTCCCATAAGCCAAGCACAATGTCCATGTAGGCTTATATACCAGGATAACACCAACAAATACCAACATTGGCTCCATGAGACAGTACATGTAGTGATCTTGGTTTGCCAACCTCATATGGTTGTATCCAACTCCCAAATCCATCTTGCTAAAGTCAGTAGCTCCTGTCAACCCATCAATTAGCTAGCCTTTCTACCCCAAGTATTGCCAATTTGTGCTTAATATATGTTTGTTGGCTATTTTTTGTCCACCAAGACTACCAGAAGGGCTAAAGAGTACCATTGTCTCGAACTGTACCAGTGAGCATTACCTCATTAACTAGTTGCTCAATCACCTTTTGGTGTTTGATGGGGCAAACTTATATGGCCTGAACCCAACAAGAGCTGCATCCAGCTGTAGGGGCATAGTGTGGAATAGGGTTTCCTTTCTTTTTCATTACGAGTGTTCAGCTTTCAAAAATAACCACAATTTACAATTTCAGAATGCTCTTTCCTTTCTTTTTCAGTTTGTGCGTGTTCGGATCAGCTATTTACAAGTGTTGTTGTTACGATAGCTGTCTAGAAACTTTAGATTTTGGATGTTCATTATTAGCTATTGCAATTTGAAATTTCTGTACCAATTCCTTTTTAAAGTAGGAGAATATTTCAGGAAGAAAAATTAGAGATCTAAAAAAAGATAATTTTGAAAAAGTAGGAGGTTGTAACTTAGAAGCTACAGAAAAACTAGAAACCAGACCGCCACAAAATGCAGCCATTAGCTGTGTTTCATCTCTCAAACGCAACATGTTCAGCATAGCCGAAGAAATAAGTGGCGATATACTAGGAATTAATGAAAGGTTTCTTACAAGTTATAATTGCAAATTGTGAATTCCTTTGTACTAAAGATATGAGCACCACAATGCAAATCATCCTTCAATGACTCTAAAGCTTTTGCTGTTAGCCAATAATCAGCTATAATGTCAGGAAATAAAAGTGAGGGCGTATATAGCATTACACTCCCGAGAGATGAATATCTCAAAATGCTTTTTCAACTCTTTATCCAAACGGGTTTCGTTTGATTGACAGTAGTTCCACATCCAACTGTCAAGAAGAAAAAAAAGGGAATGAGATTATGTTATAGTAAATCATTCCCAGAATCTGACATTAAAAAAAACAAAAATAACCAGAGAGCACACACAATAGCAAACTCTTTAACCTGAAAATAAAAATTGGAACATATTATAACTTGTAAAAAATTTCATTATAATTAATTGACTACAAAATAAACCAAGCAATAAGTGTAGTGCAAGTGCTAGTAGACTATTTGTTTTGAGAGAAATGATGGTCATAAATACAAGAGTCACAAAATATACAAACTTTCCATTTGTATTAAATTTCTACTTTCTAATTATTTAAAACCATTTTGTTCTCTTGTTAAAGTGCACAAATAGTACAATTGTGTATTTTGTGACCTTTGTGTTTATGATTCTAGCATTTCTCTGACTTTGAACTCATGACCTTTGGTCTCTGTGCTGACTTGTATGACAAAAGGCAATTTAAGTCCTGAAGACTTAATTCGATGATGTGGCAAAAGCGTGAGGCGCAAGATTACGTTTAACAGGATGAATAGAAGCATTAAAGTATTATCAAGTGGACTAGCATCATTGTAGGGATTGCCCCTATTGAGAGACTTCTTCATGTTTTCACTTGTTTGTTTTCTTTTACTACTTGTTATGGTGTTAGAAAACCATGTTGGGTTGTTATTTTTCCTAGTTCTATCCATGAGACTGTGATTACCCTGTTCATAAGCTTGCTTATTCATCGAACATAATTCTTTTATTTTGAAGGAATTAGTAGAGTAGAATATGTTATGTTCTAAATTGTAACTATGTCCTAACTCTTGTGGTTAAACTGCTGATATATTAGAGCATTCTCTCATACAAGGGGCCTACTTCGACAAGTCTTGTAATATTTGGTTTTCTAGGATAAGAGGTCATGGGGAGGGGGAACAAAGATTGTTGTTTTTATCGGGTGGTTGAAAGTTCTGTGGCATGTTAGGCCACATTTTGATAACCTCGTGTTTGCTCTTGTGAGAGGGGTTTATATCTCTTGTTGTGAAAATTTTCAATTGGTACCAGAGTACCAAATCTATTGGTGAGTAAATAAAGAAGTCCAACGACTTTAATTTGGATAGATTAAGAATACCTCTTCTTACAATCAGTAAAAACTTCAACAACAACAACAACAACAACCCAGTTAAATCCCACAAGAGTAGGGTCTGGGGAGAGTGTGTGTACGCAGACCTTACCCCTACTCGAAAGTAGAGAGGCTGTTTCCAAAGAGACCCCCGGCTCAACGTCGAAAGTTGCATTGCTTGACTAACTACTACTTCATTAATTAAAGAAGCGCAGACAGTTTACAGATCCATTTTGATTTATTCCATCACACCCCAAAGCCAAAAAATGGTGAAATTTTGGCTCCATCGGAGATGATGGAAAAACTTCAATGTCGGGAAAAAGAAGGATGCTGGCATATATGAACTTTATTTATGAACTCTGTGAGTAGGCTATAATAGAAGGCTTGACTGTTCTAGAAGGAAATCCTTCTGAGTGAGAAAAGAAAGAAAGAGAAATGGCATAAGCAAATAGTCGTATGTTGGATGTTAATCTGAGAGTCGTGATAGCACTTTCAGATTGATTATTTTGAGCGTTCAATCCAAAAATCAATCAGATAAAACTCAAATTATTGATCAAGAACAAGTATGAATTGTGATGAACTTTTGAACACCTATGTTTTCGACCAAGACGTTTTGCCGGATTCTTATAGACGCGGAAGGAAGGAAAAGATGCGGTCGCGTCTCTTTTCTAAAATTCGCGTCTAGTTGCGTGAAATTTAGAAGACGCATTTTTCGGAAAAATCTTTAACCCAAATTCCGAAAATTAAAAGTTCAAGTAAATTTCTAACACACCACTTTGTCCAAAATAACAAATTTTCGAGCTAACCTGGCTTCATTTTCTGTATGAAGCTATTGCTCTTGTTGAAAAACAATTTTGAAAAATGATGATGAAAGGGGCTGGCAGATTCCAGAATCATCAGAATCAGTTAGCTGGAACATCAGCACAGTCAGATAAAAAAGGATCAACAAACCCTGTGAAGTGCTCACCAAAAAAATATGGGCCTT